TAGCTGTCCAAGAGAAGTGTGTGTTATATGTTGCCAATATCAAGTGAAATCTGAGATTTCCTGAATTGGTGCTAAAATCCTTAGGAGTGTTCCTGGAGCAAGAATACTGTCTGCTGTGTTTAAATTGTTTAGCCACATTAAGACTTTTGGTATACTTAATAGTTTATGCACCAGGAATGGGCTAAGAATTTGTTCTGTTCTGCCATTTAGTTTATCTGTCATGTATAAGGAAAGTAATTCTCATTTAGCTTTCATGTCTTATTTAACAAGCTAGTAAGTTACGGAGTTTCTAATCAATGATTAAATATTAAACTCCCTGAATACTATAAATGCTTTTTACTATGATCACTTTGCTTAATGTCCAACAGTTTTAATAATGGGAAAAATACAGCCTTCATAGTGTTAGAATCTGTTATAATAGGTTTTGTGGGTTTTGTTTGTTTGTTTTTTAACAAAAAAATCAGTCTTCATAAAAGTTGGAATTGGAAGGGAACTGTATCTTAGATCAGCCTAGTTACTAGGCAGTGTAGTTAGCTGATTGCCAAAAGTAACAATCACTAACCACACAGCCAGGTAAAAAGGCTTGGAAGATATCTCAGTGGAAATCAGACGCACAGGAATTTTGACTGCAGAAGGCAGGCAGACTGACCTCTTTGAAGAAGCATCTAAGAAGCATTGGCCTAACAGACTGCAGGGCAGTGGAATAAAACAAATGCGATGTTCTGGACTGCCTGTCACACATGGAGGAGACCTCAGTGCATTTATCAAGGCAGTGTTGCACAACTGTTCATATGCACCTGAATGTGTGTTACATTTCATTCACAATTGTTTTGCCTACAGAACACTCAAAAAACATGAGAGCAAATTGGAAGTTTTATTCTTTCTAAAATTTGTAGACATCAGCTCCAGTTCTGATTGTGCTCATCTCAGCCTTACACTTGCCTAAGGCCACTGTGGCCAAAATTCACTTCCATTTACTCTTGCTGAATAAATAAAATTCAGCTTTGTGATTTTTAAATGAAAAAGAATGTTGTTTTAGTCAGTGGATCGCTCTATGCTAGACACTCTACAAGTGCAGACTGAAAGGACAGTCCCATGGATGGGACTTGTAAATTCACTGGCTTCCAGTTCCACGTTCCCCTTTTACGTAAGAGCTTTAATAACATCAGCCGCAGAAATACAGAAGGAAGTTGTGACTTCACCTGATGTTTTCAAATAAAGTTTTTAAAACAGAAATTAGCCTGGAGTAAGCATCCAGGAAAAAATACTTCAGTGGGACATTTTGAGACCACCAGGTTTGAGGGCAACTGGCTACCTGAAGCTGATGAACTAGAGGGAGGGTGGTGACAGGCATTCCCTGTCCCACAGAAGCCTGTGTCTAGGTGTAAGTGAAAGATGGCCTGAAGACACTTGAAATGAGATGTGCAAAGCTGTCAGCCTTCTGGTGTCTCATGCTTAGTGTGACAGGCAGTGTGTCACACAGCTGGACCCAGGCTCTCTGGGCACATCTGTGGTGCTGTGTCTCTCCTGAGTTGGCTGCAGTGTCCCCTCCTGCCACCTAAATGCCCGTGAAAAGGGAAGGTCCCCCGCAGAGGGGTGACGGGTACCTACCACAGCAGGTGACGGTGACAGGAACGTGTCAGCAGCGTGGGCAGCACCAGGGTCCAGCTGTCCTCTCTCTTCCTTGGGACCGTGGGCCAGGAGCGGGCAGGTCAAGCTGATCACGGCCACCTGATGGAGAGAAGACACCAGGCTGCAGCCCCAAGTGGTGCCATGGGCACAGAGCCTGGGCAGTGCCCCACAGCGCCCGATGGGCTCCTTGTCTTTGCTGGCTCGAGCCCAGCTGATGTGGAACATGCCCGCATCTTCTGGAACTCAGCCACGCTCCCGCCGCCGCTCGAGTCCTCTCTAGGCCCTGCCACCCTTCGACGTGAGGGAAGGGGGGGGACCTGCCCCCCCTATGGGGAAACCTTGCTCCTTGGTGGGACCCAACCCCATGAGGGACCCAACCCCATGAGGGACCCAGCCCCATGAGGGACCCAGCCTCATGAGGGGGCCCTGCCTGCAGGCCTTTTCCAGCCCTATACACAAACACCCTGCCCCACACACCTACCCTAGGGCCCCATGCTCACCTCAGGGTCCCCAAAACCTTCCTTAAGGCCCCCACCCTCCCTGCACCACCACCCACCACCTTTCCAAGTGCCCTTAATGTCCTTTTTCTTTCCAGGGAGAAGTAGTTCTCTCCAGGGCCCGCTGCTCCCTCGCAGTAAGTATGGCTACTGTATGCCCCCAGCTCATGAAACCTCAGTTGCCTAAATTTCTGTGAGGAATTAATTCGGAGGAATGAATAAGTCATGCCAATAAGCTGTGGGTGACAAAAGAGACACAGTCCCTGCTTGACAGATATTTCAGCTGATACTTGCTGTCTGGGGATCCAGACACTTTCTGAACAGCCCCACAGCCTGCTACAGTTCAGCTGCCCTCTGCAAAGGACAGTGGTAGCAGGAGCACTTGGTCATTTGCCTCTCATTTGTCCTAATTAGAAAGTGAGCAAAGCAGTGAGAAAGAGAGAATCTCCGAAGCTCAAGATGTGCAGAAAACTAAAGTAAAAGAAAAATATCTTCAGCAGGTAAGAGCCAGTAACCCCAACTCTTTTCTCATAGATATTCCCGTTCATTCTTTGTACGCCATTTGGTGGAATTCTGCAGTTTTGGAAATGCAGTTATGAACAGTAATAAAAATGGCCTGGGCCTGGCCCACAGTTAGCTTTGCATGATGCAGCCCATTTTTTGATGTTCAGCTTAAATTTATTCCCCGTTGGGAATAAGTTTGCTTGGGACAGGGCTGAAAGGAGTAGGCTGCATAGTTAATTTCTTCCTAGTAAGCACATAATGTCTGGTCTGATTTAATATCTAATAGAAGCCAATTGAGAGTTCCCAGATCCAAAAGTGGATAATTTGGGGGTGGGGGGGAAATCTACTGCTGCATGCACTTTCACACAAAAAATCCTGGCATACAGACGTTGAAGCAGGTTAGGTTAATTTCTTAGTCGCCTTAGTTATTAATAGATCTCCATTACTCTGTGCCCAGCAGCAGCTAGTGCCAAGAGTTCATTGAGTGTGAGATGCGGGAAACTTGGTAGTGAGTGGTTATTAAATCAGCTTCTACAGGACTGCTTCTGCCTTGGCCTGTCACTCCGGGACAGGTTTAGGTGATATTTTTATTGGTATAATTCATGTGCTGCTTGACCAAGCCATTACAAGTTTTCTAGAAACTACTCAGCTGCAGAACAAACTAGATTTTAGCAAGTAACATCAAAATTGCGTTTATAGATGACACTGCCTTTCCAAATGAAGGTGCAACTGGGATATTGTAGAGCCTTTCAGGCTGGACTCTTCTGGGCTGCAGACTGCTGCTGAATCCAGTGGGGTTTTACAAAAGCAAACATCAATCTGCCATGGCACCACCCAGTCAGCACTTTAGTTATTGGTTCCTGTAGATATTCAATATTTGTGCTCATAAAATGCACTCTCCATTTACACCAGATTGGTAGGATTCATGTTTAAAAGTTTGCTCAAGCATTAAATTGACTATGAAAAAAAGCAAAATAAGCGACATGGTATTCAGATCTTCAATGTTCATCTCCTCCAAAACAGTGGGGTTGGACTGTATATAGAGCTTGGGGTTTCTCCTACTGCTTTGCCATAAGATGCAGACAACAGTTGCGCTTGCTTTCAAGGCACTGATGTAGTCTGTAGATAAAAACTTTTCCTGAAGTCACCATTAATCTAAATCATGAATTGATGTTCCACATATATATCATGAGTACAATTCACATATGTAGTGGAAACTAAAAAAACTAGTAATAAATATAGGATAACATTGTCAGCCTGGCTCCGTAATGATACTATATTTTTTTCATTTTAGCAAAATGTTCCACATTTTTACTGAAAAGCCTCTAGCCTATATTCGGGAAGCAGGCCAGATGAGAGCAATCTGCAAGAGGTGCAGAAAGGCGCTGAGGTCTGCAAGTCTTTCCTGCAACTCAGCAATCCTCCTTTTCTAATTAATAACACCATAATGCATCTCATCCATTATCGTCAATTAGCCTTCTTTCTAAATTCTGGCTAAAGACAGCAACAGTTCCCTGATTCTTCCGTTCATTTTTTATTTTTTTTTTTTAATTCAGTAACAATAGATGATAGCAAGGTTTTGCAGCTTTGGGCATCTGGCAGCTATACGGATGGCTGATTAATTTCAGTAAGTAAATTACTTTCTAGAACTACAGGACATGCTATAAGCCTCAAATATTCTAAGAAAATGAAAATTAATGCACTGAATGAAATAAGAATAATGTACACGTTATTATCAGGCATAGGTGTCATTTACTGTTCAAGCCCAGTTTTCAGACTTGATTTGGGCATTCTGTTCCTGCAGCATGGCCCCTAGGTGAGCAAAACCTGGAAACCCTGTTGTGTGGGTCCAGGAAGTGAATTCTGGCTCCACAGTAGAACAGGGTCAGGGTTTTTTAGAGGGAAATGTTTGCTGCATTAACACTCTTATTTTACAAACTGACAGATTTTTTTTTAACAGAAATGCTTATTTTAATTAGCTAATTTCATCTGAAATAGGACTGAAGCACATGGCAAAATAGCTGTTGTCTTTTAGAACATTGGGCTATTCTGCAGTTTAATTCTCACAGGCTTTACAAGGTGCTTCATGATTAATAAAGATTTCAAAACTATAAATGCTGTAAATCTGAATAATCAATGTAATCCATTTAAAATAGGAACGCCTAACTTATCTGACTAGATCTGTGTATTATTACTAGATGGTTATCCACTCTGGCCACTCCTTTTGATATTGGTCTTATTTGCCTATCTTTAGCTAGTAAGTGCTAAGGTAATGCTCTACCAGCTCATTTCATCATCAGGTGTTTTGGGTGTGCTCAGCAGGGGCCTGAGGGTACTAATAGCCCTTAAAGGGCATGAGCATCTTCCCTTGGGATCTTCTTCACCTATGGCAAGAGCTCATGTAAGCTCAGGCCTAGACTCTCTTTCCTGAGTTAGTGGGTAGGTATGTTTGCAGCTCTTTCTTGGTAGGGTTGTCCAACTCTTTCTTGGAGTGTCTGGTTCATAATGTTTTACCAAGAATTTTTGAAAATGCTGTAATGTACTTTTACTCAGCTTCAATAGGAGTGTCTCACTGTATCTGAAAGGTGTTTACTTCCATAAAGAACAATGTATGGATGTGCTGAAGTGTCTGGAAATCAGAATACTCAGAAAAACTCTCAGTAGGAACTGAAGCATTGTTCCTTAGAAATTCATTCTTTCCTTCAACTGTATAAAGAGAGGATCTTTAACAAGTTCTGGGATGTGTGCTTTTCTTGTAGAGAGGAGAACCTGGACCATCGGTTGAAAGGAATCGTTAAATGTTAAAATTATCACCATTTTATATCACTTCTACACAATATCAGAGACTGGCTTAATCCAAAACTGCATAGTGATGACAAGTTATCTCTGGTTGCACCTTTCAGATAAAAAAGGTTTTGTAATGAGTCATCATGCAGATGGAAGTCCTTGAATTAACTCCATCTTATAACCTCTAGATGCTCATGCTAGTTCTTAGGTTGGTAAGGATTTTCAAGTTTACCATGAAGCACAAGCTTTTAATTCATTTTTCTGAGCTCATTGTAGTAGATGTTTCTTTTCAGGCCAAGAAAAGAGAAGATATACTAGCTTTGCTGAGGAAGCAGAGAGAAGAAAGGATTGCAGTAAGTTTTTCTTCTGATTATGCTCTAGATGCATCTCAAGGTTTGTGCATCCTTACAAGATGGACAGCGTTGCAAGGACAATGATTCGATGTATGAGGGTTTATGGCGTGTTGCAAGATTTCAGTAGTCTTGCATAGCAAAAACACCTTGGTTTGAACTGATTAAGCATGAAGAAAAGTTGGCTACATTTTATGATCTGCTAAAGCAAGGAGGATCCTGTAAGCTGTGTGATCATGAAGGAGTTAGGCCAGGCAGTAGGAAGCAATAGGTGTGGAAGCTAGAAGAAGTTCAAGGCAGCTGAATCTAGTTATTATGGCTACCCACAATCTGAAAAACCTCAAGTGGCAAGATGTTGATGTTATAAATATCTTACAGTGCTTGGAGATAACGGTTTCCATGCTGCTTTATGTATGGGTATATGCGTGATATAGTCAGCTGCAACACGATGGCCTTTTGCCAAGACAACAAAATAGAAGACTCTTTGAGACCAGCTTGTGCATGGTCTTGTAAGACAAGCTATCTCAAAGGAACAACTATGAACATCAGAATTTCCACAGAAAATGAGGAGACGCTTTTGAGAGGAGCAGCTGGGAACTGAAGCTGACCTCACTGGTGGAGGCAGGTAGGAAAAAGGAAAAATGCTAGAACAACATGGGACTGAGAAATACAGCAGAAGCAGTAGCTAGTGCTGTCAGAATGGTGGTGAGGAAACGGACTTACAGATGCATAATGACAGGACTTTAGCTATTTAAATTACACCATCTTTAATACAGTTATGTTTAAGTGGCTATTTTTTTTAGTTTAACTTGTCAAAAGAATCTTTATGGACTGTTCATTGTAAATGTTATTGCTTAGATTATTTTTCCATTGTTGTCTCAAGCTTTTTTTCACTGAAACGTTAAAACTTGGTTTAGAATAGAGCTATAAAACGGGCTGTAGGTTTGGCATGCTCTGCTCCCTAAAAAGCTTTCTTAAACTGAATTTGAGCATTAAAAGGAAGAACTCCAATTAGGGATTTTTTATTATTACTATCAGTAGTGAATGCTAGATTTACTGATTTATAATGTTTTTCTGTGGCATGGACGGATGTTTATCAGGAAAAGAAGATTGAAGAATAAGAGGTCTGTATTATATTAGGCAATCCTTTTTTTCAGTTGTAATTCACAAGATACAAAGCAGAGATAGATGAGGTTTTGCCCCATATAAGGTTAAACATCTGTTCTTTTGAAGAAACTACATATCCTGATTAATACAATTTAATTACACTTGATAGAAGAGAGTAGAACTGACATTTTTAAGCTGATAAGTGTAGTGATTTGAAAAGTAACTTAGAAAACAAGATTTCAAAGGATACTTCCAGAAATGACGTGTTCATTTTGGACATAAAAGCATTCTTTTTTTCATTTAAGCTTTTAAACTGGTAAATATTAAATATTTGCTTTTCTCAAAGTTCATTAAAATGCTGACCCAAGTATATCTGCTTTATCCAAATTCCATGCATTAAAGCTAGGCCTGAAACAGAACATGAGACTCTGTTCTTCTTACACAATAACTCATACAAATTTGTTATTCCTGATTACTCAGGTACGATATTAGCACATAAAAACCTCCCATACTATTGCTAGAATAATCTTTCAGTGTTTGTATAGAGCTGTCTTCCGGGATAAGCAGTAAGTTTAGAATGAGCTAGTGATAATCATTGAGTCTTTTTCTTTCTAGAAAGAACTGATTTCTCATCCACATAAACCGAAGATCAAAGCTGATGAAGTAAGGTAATGAAAATACTCAAAAATAAGTTTTCCTCTATCTAAATAGTCAGGATCTATCTGAGGAGAAAAGATGCTCTGTTTTAATTACTCTTATTATTTTGAAAATAAGTTTGTTTTATCCTGTATTAATACCTATTATGAAAAAACTTAGGAAAGGCAAGGCTGAACAGTCGACTACTGCTATTGTTCTGTACTTCTTTACTCTCTATGTGTTCCATTTATTTTTAGATAGGGGTTGAGGAAGGAAGTGGAAGCTCAGACATTTTTTGTAAAGTCATGAAGAGTTCAGTTTTGCTATTCTGGTTCAAATGCAGAAGTCAGGAAAAAGATCAGTTGTCAGTGGCTTCTATATTTTTGAAAGAGTCAGGAAATATCATAAAGGCTGTTTATTTCCAGTGCCTATCTTGTCTGAATGAGAAAAAGCACGAGTGTGACCTTGTCAGTCACATCACACTGTATGGATGCTTTCTTTGGTTATACTTTGCCCATTTTAATAAACAAGTCTCCTTGTTTATTTCCCTGCTATAGATCCAAAGAAAGATCACCATAATAGCATGTTACATCAGCACGTCATGCTGTGGAAGATGAGTCTGGAAAGGATCTGGAACAGGGAAAGTCAGCCTTAATGCACGAATTGTTTGAGGCTGGTGATGTAGATGTGACAGTTGCTAAACCAGGTGGTGAAAGATTCTTTTAACTTCCAGTAAACATTAGGCGTGAGGTTGCTGACAGTCTGTTTATGTTAGGTCAGACAGTTTCCTTTTTGGCACTTGCCTGTGGCCTCCTGGATGATGTAAATACTGTTATTTTCCAGTGTCAAAAGCTATCTGTTAAAATAAACAGGATCCCCGCAACTGTCAGGTGGGTACTATGCAAGCAGAAACTCAAGTTTAAGGTCATCTGCTGTTACTGTTAGTCTGGGAGTGAGAAGGATTGGAAAACTGCCCCAGCAGAACTACAACAGCATGTTTTGTCTACTGCCAGTGTTGCAGTTGCTTTCCCTTTATGTTGCCTTCATAAAAGGGATCTCTGTTTCAGATTAAAGGGTGGTTTAACTGGTCTTAACAAGTTGCTTCTCAGTTTCAGAAGGGCAGGGCTAGTGGTTTGTTTTTTCACTACTGGCTAGCTGATTCTTTTCACATTTATCACTAATACTTTCTGCTCTGAATTGTGAGCTGAGGCAGTTACTTTTGCTTTCACTGCCCCATCTATAGTTGGGTCAGTCAGGCGGGACCTGTGAAGTCAGTTTTAAATATGCATTTGGGTCTAGTACAGTGGTAAGTGTTTAAAAAGTATAGCTTTTTTTTTTTTTTAAGAAGTTGCTCTTTGTTCTTAAAACCATCTCATCTTTGAAAATGCTGACAAGGTACCTCACAGCCCTTGATTTAGCAATTTCTTCCTTTTAATGAATGGCATTTATATAATATAAGTGAGGCCATTTTTCTCGCACTGGCACCAGTTAAAGCAAGGTGGTGTCATTGAACATCCACAACTTAAAGGCTAAGCAATGAATCTGCAGCTTAGATCTTCCTTCCAACTTACCATATGGATATGAAAGCCGAGAAACGACTGTCAGCAATTCATTTTGAAAGCAAATGCCTCAGGAAAACACTGGGCATTAGACAATTAATTCTTAGCAAGACTATTACCTCTGGAGCTAGCTATAAAGGAAAAACAGAAGTATCTGGAACAGGTGAAAAGGCTGAAGGTCAACGTCTGCTGAGGTGAGCAGCTGTGGGAGTAGGCATAAGGGAACATCCACACAAATCTTCCAACCATCATAGGATACGTACTAAAAGGTAAAGCTGTCTTGAACCTGTGCCAAGGACAGCTGTTGGAGCTCTTCACCTAAGCAATACTTGTTTGTACGGGTGTAGGATTGAGGTTCACGTTTTAGATAGAAGCTTATGGCCTGTGAAGAAAGCTACACTGGCTTATTATCCTGTTATATCTTTTTTCATTTAAATGTTTTAATGTTTGGAAAATAAGCATCACTATTTACTGAAGCAAAGTCACCCAGAGCACAGGGTATTGATTATTGCTGTATTTAATTAGAATAATTGTGTTTTTGTAATGGTCTGTTAGCACTCATTACTGGGAAATATGATCATACCAATTTTACTAATGTCTTGTAAGAGGTTTATAGCCTGTATTGACCAGGATGATTCCTGTTTCCAGAGGCAACTCAATGAATAGCTGAGAAAATATGATTTCTAGAAGAGCTACATTTGTCAAAATGTTTCACAGAAAATGGACTCTTCCCGTTTGTTTCTTCCTTCAGTAGCTTCTCTTTTGTAATTTCTCGTCCCATTCCTGATTTCAGCGGGCTCGTGATTTGTGCATGTGTTTTCATAGACCTTCACTTTCCAAGTGTTTAAAAACAGAAATACTGATTTCTTTTCTCGTGTTCAGGGGAAATTGCCTAAATCATTCAGTGGTTTGGCTTTTTTGGCTTTGTTTAACTAGCAGCTTGGGGATTTTGTACTGAATTTGTGTTGCTTGAAATGTACAGTTTAATTAATCCTCTCAAGTGGATACAGGTCTATCAATGGAAAGTTGTATGTACTGATAAAAAGAAAAAAATTTCCATGGAGAAAGGCATTAAGCTAGTATAAGGCACCTCTATACTGACACATATATAACTGCAACCTATTTTGAATAATATTGGAATTGTTTTAAAAAGAAATCCCAGTAAACTATACATTTACGTGAGTTTATCACTACAGATATTATGTGTGTTGAAAGCTTTTAATCCAACCTGAATATAGAAAGTACTGAGGGCTGCAAAGTGAGGCTGTGATATTCTTAGCCCTGTATTTATAGTCCTCTGCGAGCATGTCTGACAAGTCACATTTGGTATTGTTTTGGTGTAGATCAGAGAAGGTTTTGCCTGCTGTGGTCCTCCGGCTCAGATTCAGGGTGCTATGCCATTGTAGGTGTTCGGGAAGATGTGATCATTCAGGTTCAACTGCACTGATTTGTACAATGAAGGAAGCAGAATTGCTTAGAGTAGGCTGTTCCCGTTGCCTTTATACATCAACTGTCTATTTCCCCTTGGTCTAGACTTGATTCTTTTCCTGCCTATGAGAAACGAGTAGTATGTGCCTCACCACTTATTTAAGTGTGTGGCAAAACCTCAGCTTCTTGCTAGCTAATTTCCTCTTAGTTCCTCTTTTTTTTTCCATCAGTGTTTGGGAACTCCTTTCACCACCAGTACTGTCAAACTTTTGGCTGTCAAGTTCCACCAAAGCTGTGAAATCTTCAGAGCAGTCTGCTCCATGTGAGGCTTGGGTACTGTGTTTTCTTGTGCTTACAATTTTAATAGAACTCCTCAGTTTGACAAGAAAAAAATTCAGAATGGGATATGAATCCTGTGCAGTAGTGCACCTGACGGAATGTGGTTTTTCTGTTAGCTTGATTTTTCTTAATAGACTTCTCTGTAAGTTTTGGTATTTATATGGGTATTCCTTTGTGTGGATTCTCTGAACTTGTGTTCTGTAAATTTGTTTTCTGCATGTAGTTAGGCATTTACAAGGCATCCCTCTTTAGAGATACACATATAACGATGTGATATTAAGACACAGAATGGGTTAAAGAGCTCTGCACCCTGGCAGCTGTCTCGCACTATTCCTTGTTGTACATTAGCTGCACTTTCCTCATCAACAGATCACTTTCTGACAAGGTTCTGTTATTTCCAGCAGGCAGAATGTGTTTGAAGCAGACCATCAGGATCAAGAAGCGGTGAAGGCCCTCAAATAGTTCAGCTAAACTCTGATGAAGACAATGAAATGTTTCTCTGCTCCAGAAAAAAAAAGTAATTGTTATCAGAACTGTGCTGCTCTGGACTTCGATAAATGTACGTTTCTAATTTGACTACATTTCTAGTTGCTCATACTGAGACATAACATGATGGACAAAGGCTGTGATAGGCTTGCAGCAACCTATCCATCATTTTCTTTGTTTTGCTGAAGTTGAAATAAATGCTGAATTGCTTTACTTACTAAACTGTTAGGTCCTAATGTGATGGTAGTGGCTTGGGAAGTGCTGTTTGTCCTCACATTTTTCTGTTGTCTTGGCACTACAGCAGTAAACAATGTATGCGAGTAGCTGTTTGTCAATCTTGTCCAAGTCCTTGTCCATGCTGCTGCCTAAGGTAATTCAAAGGGATGGCATAACAAACATCTAGTAGACTTGTTTTCCATGGACTAGAGTGGTCCTGGGATTTTTGACTTGTGGGCTTTGAAGACTCACGTACTTTACTGGTCAGCATTCAAATGGTACACTTCTATGATCTGAAGGGTTGTTATATTGAATATATTCATTTTGTGTGCTCAGTTCTCCAGAATTATAAATGGAGAGCAAGTGTTTTACCTCTGTTGTGAAATTGCTCTTTAAAAGTAGAGGTCAAAAAGGAAGAGGTCAAAAGGAAGAGTCTGTGGCTAGTAACAGTGTTAGGATTATGCAATAAACACAGCAAGCTTTGTTATCAAGTGTCTGTAGTGTTCGAGTGGTTGGAGTTGACCTCTCTTAATAAAAGATCAACGAGGCTTCTGTCAGCTACTGCACTGTCCTGCTGAAAAGAGCGAGGTCTTTGGTAATCACTTCGGGGTTCTATGGTACTGTGTTCACCAGTTCTGCTCTTGATGTGGGACAGACTGGAAGAAACTAATGCCATGTGGCAGAATACTTACCATTAATTCAAGAAAAAATGTTTATAATGCTGCCACTACTTGTCATGCATATATATCAATTTTTGTTTGTTTTCCTTCAGAGCCATTACAGAAATGTTTTCCAATGAATTTAGTATGCATATATGCTAGAAAAAGGGTAGACTTCTAAAATGATGGGCCAGGGGGCTTAAGCTTTATGACAATACCTGCAGCTGTAAAGAGTTTGTTTAGTCTCGAGGAACACTAATTATTTGTGAGTACGTTGCTTATTTTCTGTGAAACAAGAAAAAAGCTCTCTAAACAGGATGTCCTTTGTGCTAAGCATTCTTCAAAGACCTTGTGCACTGGCAGAGCTTTAAGATGATGAAGCTTTGGCTGGTAAAGGCATGAATTCAGTCTTAAACCCAGGCTACTGGCAGTTGAGCTGCTCAGTTCTTCCATGTAAATTGGGGAAGAATTGCTCCTATTTGTAAAGTTGCTAAAGTGCTTAAGTATTTACTAAACTACGCTTGTGATCACCAAGGATTTTGGAATTGCAAAAAGTATGCCCTGGATAACCATTGCTCTGTGTTTCAGAGGCATGACAGACTGCAGAAGCCTATGGCCTCAGTTCATATCCAGGAACTTTCCGAGTCCTGGTGACCTGGAGGGGAATGTCTGCATGGCTTTTTGAAGGATCTTTTTCTGTTTAAGGTACTCATTTCAGAAATCGTTTCTCCAACTGTATTGTGAAAAGTAGGTATAGGTTTGAATTGTTATAAAACGATTAAATTCTTAAATTATTGACATCGGTATCTGAGTGGAATCTGTAGCCCCTGGAGCTCCTGTTTGGTGTCTCCTTGCTGCTCTCCCCCTTCCCGCAGCCTGCAGAAGGCTCCGAGCACAACTTCAGCTGGAGACAGCCAGGGATGCCGGAAAGAGGCGCGCACCGGTTTCCTCGCCAGCAGGAACCAGGCGGGGGAAATGCCGGCTCAGCAGTTATTCACCGCTGCTGGAAGCCAACTTCTCTCCCGTTTTCGGTCTTCAGACGGTTTCTGAAAAAGCAGCCGGCGGAGGGGCTGCAGGGGGAGCTCCTGCCGCTTCCCCACTGCGGGTGGCGGTGCCAGCGCCGCGCACACCTTGCCGGGGGCCGGGCGGCTGCAAGGGGTGAACTGCGAGCCCAGGAGGAGGAGGAGGAGGAGAAGAAGAGGCTCCTCCCCATCCCACCCCTGCTCCAGCCGCGGCCGGGCGCTGCGAGGAGCCGGGGCGATGCTGGCGGCTGCGGCGCTGGGCTTGGCGGCGCTGGGCTGGGCGACGGGGACCCGGCTGCCCGGTGGTAAGGCTGGGGGTGACAAGGGGCAAGGGGTGACAAGGGCAGGGGGTAACAAGGGACAGGGGGCGGGTGGGTGCTCCCCGGCACGGAGCTTTCCCCCCCCCCGAGCCGCCCGTCCTGCCCGCGGAGGGCTCCGCACCCCGGGGGTTTCCTTGCGCTGCGTCCCAGGCTGCGCTGGGATGTGGGACTGCTCCTCTGCCAAGTCGTCTCATTTCTCAGCACTCATGTCTTTAGCTCGGTCGCCTCTCGTGGGATGGCAGCTCGGGGTGACCAGCAGGATTTGGGGCTGTGTCCCCCCCAGGGCGGTGTCAGCTGCCTGCAGAGCGTGGGATTGGGGTGCTGGGGGATGCCCAAAGCCTGGCTGCTGTCAGCACTGAGATGCTCCCTTAGTCCCACGTAAAGCAACTCACACCTAGAAATATTCTTTTAAAATTCTGCCCTGTCCTTGGCTGCAGCAAGACTTCTGGGGCAGTGAGCTCTGGGGCTGGCGATGTATTTTTCCTTCCACAAGCTCTTGCTTTTGATGTAACTGAGCCTTTCCTAGTCCTGGAGCCAGCAGGCATGGAGGCAGGTCCCGTGTTAGCAACGAGGAGGTAAGGGGAGAATGTGAGGGACCCTTTTAGCACTGGTTAGGGCTGTGTATCCTAATCTGCGTTCGGAAAGTTAACTAGCAATGAAGTCTGGACAGAGATCAACTGCATGAATTTTTTCCTTATTTGAAAGCAATGGCGAGTTTGGCTAATAAAACACAGATGTTCTGCCAGTTAATGGAAAAAAAAAGTGTTTGTGTATCAGAAAAGAGCCCAACTGTAGTTTGTAACACCATTTCTGGAGGCTTGCTGCAGATTTATGGTAACAATGTGCCATCTCTGCTTTCCTCCTGGCTTTCACAATAGCAGTGGATGCATCCCTCAGAAGAGGTAAGGGTTCTTGCCTTTTTCACCAAGCATGCATGAGTGTTAAATGACCAAGAGAAACACAGGTTCTGCCTAAAGATATATTTTTTAAATGCTGTTTTTGCAGTACAGCCAGTTTTAATTTCTGTATAAGATGTTAGCAGACTCTGTGAGTACTTAACTGTTTAAAAGCTCCACTTTGAAAGGTGTTGGAAGTTCCAGTCTCAGAGTAGCCATGGTAGGACGTGGAAGAGTAAAGAAAAGCCAGCATAAATCCTGTAGATGGGTTTTTAATGACCTGTCTGTGCATGTTCTTGAGTACATGATAAATGTCGCTTTTCTCTTGTAATCCCTAAACAGTTTTCTTCTGTAAAAGCGTGGAGGTTAGCAGATTGTGTCTGTGGTGTGTTTGAAAATAAATATTTACTAAGCAAAACAAAACTGTTTGTTTCCGTAGCCTAAATATTGGGACTCTTATGTTGAGAAACAGAAGTGTATAATTTTTAGATTATGTATCTTCTCGCTTTGATCTTTATTTTCCGTATAATCAACATAAGACGTGCTGCTTCATGCATGAGTGTCCTTGCTGTATGACAGTACGAAACAGGCACTGGGCAGTCAGTAACATTGCAAAGCAGGGTGCTGCCTACAAATCGGACTGCCTGAATGCACCTTGCTACACTGCAGTACGCTCCATGGAACTATTAGACCCCATAAGCTAAATGATTGTTAGGTCTGCATGTAGAAGGGGGTCTCTAATCTTAATGATTTGAAGCCACTTTTTGGAAGGGTAGAGAGGGAGATGCATTCTTGAACTCTTGTAAAGGAAGTCTCTTTAAAAGGCTGCATAATAGGTCAGCTTGTTCTCTGGCACAATGTTACTTCTTTGTAAGGAAATCCTGGAGTCTTCAAACTGCAGAAAAGTCATAGGGAAATTGAGGTGTGCAGGACATGAGCACTGCTGTGCAGCATTACCGAAACTGCTACATCCAGAAAGAAAAGTTTGAAGATACCATTAGTCATTCAAATTATACAAGAGGCTTTTTACCTCTGTTGTATTCTCCATGTGAATAGTCACAAAGTGCAAAGCTCAACCAAATAAAAGCAGTAGTGTCCACTTTCGGTATTAGTAGGTATGATTTCTATAACGGGTTTCTTTCCATTTCTGCAGGACAGACAGTTTGCAGGGGTGGAACGCAGCGGCCGTGCTACAAAACGGTTTATTTTCATGATGCTTCACGCAGGGTCACCTATGAAGAAGCACACTTTTACTGCAGAGCTGACGGTGGACACTTAGTCAGTATTGAAACAGAAGCGGAGCAAGGATTGATTCAAAAATTTATTGAGAGTCTCATGGCTTCTGATGGAGATTTTTGGATAGGTCTTAGAAGGAAAAAGGCAGAGGTAGACAACAGCACAGACTGTCAGAACCTCTATTCCTGGTCTGATGGCAGCTCATCCAAGTTCCGGTAGGTACCGGGGAGTGCGACTGACTGGGCAGCATCTTGGTCAGGGATTGTCACTTGCCTTTAGCAATCAAGAAGGGTTCTTTCAAAAGAATCAAGTGATTTTGTCCCAGCTGTCATGTATGCTCCTCCTGTAGTCACTGAAGAGTGGTCGTATCTCCAGAGAGCAGTTCATCCTATCCAGGTGATTCAATAATTAATCCAAATTTGCTGGAGCTGTCCTCACTGCTTGCACACTTCGTCATTGAACCCCAATTTGTTTAGCCTCAAGTTATGATTTAATTTCAAGCATAAGTCGCTGTCTTCTAGACAAAAGATACTCTTAAATTCATGAATGTAAGGTCTGCCTTGGTGGTATCAAAATAGATGAGAATCTGCTCTAAATATTGATGGGATGAGGAAAGCCTTGGCAATAAGGTGCCAGCTCCACAGTGAACTTCAGGCTCAAGAATTTTGCCTGGTAGATGTTTACTATCAAACCCGTAATTAGTCTTGAAAAACAAACTAATGTACCTATACAACGTTCACTAATCATTGTGAATTTCATGCTGCATTTAGTCTTTGAACCATGGATTTAATGAAATAACCCAAATGTTATTAAATATTTTATAGCAACTTGTCACCTAACTGCTATGGGAACCCATAAGAGATGTTAGTTGCAGTGGACAGAACTGAATAAAACTGAATAACTGAGCCAAAGAGAAGATGAGTTTTCTTGAGAGGGGGAAGTGGGGTGGTAGAATGGTTGTGTTGGGAGGAAAGGGAGTACAGGGATATGATTGAAATGTGATTTTCCCTCATGTTGAATACCTTGGCATATCTGGAAGTATTTCTACGGTATAAGATCAGCTTCCAAGAAGTGCTTGGCATGCAGAATATTGCTTGTTCCAAAATTAGTGGGTATTGAACATTTTCCAAAATCAGGATATATAACCTTAGAAGTGCTTCTTAGAGATGCATAAAATGCCTTTTCAGTAATGATTATATTATAGAGTGTTAGATAGTGAAGCCTACTTCCTACATCCCATGTGGAAAGGCCTTCCAAGTTTTCCAGTGGTGAAGTTTCTTACAGCCTGTCTTTAAAAAAATCTTCATTTTATGTTAGCAGTTTCCTAGTTTTAGGTAAGATTCTGTCTTACCTATTTCATTTTCTTAGTAACTGCATGTCAGTTTTGTAGGCATTGGGCACTGATGCCAGAAAGTAAAATTATTTTGACAGTGTGCACTGAAAGTCAAAGTTCTGAGTTTTCCTCAGCCTTGCAGGGCTTCTGCAGTATCATGGAAAGAAACTTCAGGTCTTACTTGATATGTTTGTTGTGTTTTCTTAGGAACTGGTATGTAGATGAGCCATCCTGTGGGAGTGAAATCTGTGTTGTGATGTACCACCAGCCATCTGCCCCACCAGGTGTTGGAGGTCCTTACATGTTTCAATGGAATGACGACAGATGCAACATGAAAAATAACTTCATTTGCAAATATTCTCTTGGTAATGAGTCATTCTGTTTTAAAAAACAACCTGCTCCCAGTTCCCAAGAGGAGGTATGAGGAGATTATGGTATCGATGTAAAAACAATCTCAGTATCTAATATCTGTAGGTACTTGCCTTGTGACTTATGAATTCTGAGATTTTTATAAAATATCTGAGATTTCAAATGGAGCCTGAGAGGGAGAGAACATAAAAAGGGTGCTTGCTTGGACAATATTCTGTACACTTGGTATCCCTACTCAAACTTACAAGAAACTTTTTTTTTTTTCTTCTAGAGAAGCCAACAACTGCTCCAATTGAGAACTCTCCAAGAGGTCAGTTACAGATACTTGCTTAGGGCTTTTTTTAACACTGTACTAATTTTGAGTAGAAATCCTTCGTTAACATTCATTGTCAAGGACCCTCACAGACTGCATGCCCCATGAGCAAGAGGCATCCTTGTGGTTTGCATGTCCCTCCAACCGTTCTGTAACCCAGCCTGCAGAAGCGTGGTCCTGCTGTTGCTGCAGTACCTGGGGCTACTGGACACGCTGCAGAAAGCTCAGCAGAAGGGCACCAGTAGACCTTACACTTGGCAGCTGGCAGTCTCTCCCATCCTCTTTCACCCTCATCTTTTATGTTTCTTAAGCGCTTGCAAATAACACCTGCAATATTAACTAAGACGCTTCTTTCCAGATGTCACAACAGAGCCTTTCAATGCGCTATTCCCAGAAGAACGCCATAAGCAAGATGCTAATGTAACAGTTAAAGAAGCCAAAGGTACGCTGCTCATTCAACACCTGGCCTGGCCTCTCTCTATCTCTGCAGGCCCATATCTCACGTGTGGCTGTGAACACTCAGCACTTCAGTTTGAAGTGTTTGACCTTAAATGTAGAAGCCTGAATTTAGGCAACTGCATCTCAAGGGGAAAGGGGACACCTTCCTGCAACTCTCTTCCAGTACAAACCTTCAATGATTGCTTTCACTACCAAAATGTTCCCAGTCTACAGCAAAGTACCTAAGGTCTGAAAAAGATCCTTTAAATTTATTGAATCACTCTTGAAGGTCAGAATTGTTAATATTTTGTTAGTAAGCTTATTATTAACTATTAAAAACTTCCTATTCGTTCTTGCCATGCTGACTTTCCCCTACAAATTCACAGATCATAACACTCCAGTCTCTGGAAACTTCTGCTTTGTAAGTTTTCAGAAGACAGCATATCCCTAACTCGCACTGCTGTTGCCTTGTCACAGTGAGACAGAATAAGGGTTAGTTTCTCATCATGTGGGTTTGAGCTTATTTTATTTTAACCTGTGTTACGAGATGATCAGTCTATTGGAGTTGCTGGCTTTGCAAGGGTGTAGAAAATGCTAGATTATGAACAAGACTAGAAATCCACTTGAGGTGTGATGGTGCTGCCTTGTGTTAACTTAATTTTTCTATGTAGTTCTGTGTGTGTGAAATGCAACTAGAAGTGAATAAAAGCTGGAATCTCATTTTTACCCCAGAACCTGTTCAGAGTCTTGCCTACATCCTCATTCCCAGCATTCCTGTGCTGCTTCTCCTGATGGTCATTACAGCCATCTTCTGTTTTTGGATTTTTGCAAAGAGGCAAGTGACATTGTTCTGTAATAAGTGAACCTGTGATATCTTGTCCTGGCAATAATTTTACAGCTAGCTACAGACTTCTGTCAGATGCTCTGGAGCTGACTGCTTTTAATCAAAAAAAGTAGCATGGATTCTCCAGGCCAAGTTACTTATGAATAACATTATAGATTAAAAAAAAAAAAAAAGTGTTATTTTATTCTATTCACAGATAGTAATTAGGGAATAATGTAAATGCTAACCCTTCAAAATCACTTTGTTTTAAGCTTCTTTATTAAAGTAGAGATCTGAAATATCAGAAGATCCCCTTCAAAAGTGAAAACCTAATAGAAATAGGAGGATGTGTGTGATTGGAGCAAATAATATCGATCAATTTCTTCTTGCTTTCCCTGGGTGCATAGTCCCTTTGGTGGGGATGGTGGTTGTGGTGTTGGGGGTGTCAGCCTTGAGCTCTGTGTGCCACACACCTGGAACTCTAAGTAGTAACGAATGTCATCCTGAGTCCAGGCTCTGAATGTCAGCTTTCCTGAAGGGTCATCTTTAGATTATTTTAAGAGAGGTGTGGTATAGTTTTGTTTGCCTCTGTAAAAGAACATGTTAGACTTTTCCTCTTTCCTCCATCCCTCAGGAGAAGGGAACAAATGGAAGCAAGCCCCAAGGAGGAAGATGCCTGGCTCTCTAACCACAGGAGGAACAGTCCAAACCTGGAGATTTACAAAGTAATCAAGAAGCAATCCGAAGCAGATCTGGCTGGAACCAGGCCTGACATTAAGAACTCTTCCTTCCGCACACAAGAAGAGAAGGTGCTCGACAGCCTCTCCAGGGATTATGATGATGTGGCAATGAACACGTCGAGCGGCTTTGTGACGTTGGCTAGTACTGAAAGTGGCTTTGTGACCAATGATATCTATGAACTGTGTGGAGATCGTGTGGGGAGGAGCAAGGAATCAGCCTGGGTGGAGAATGAGATTTATGGATATTAAGGAAATGGACAAAAAAGCCTGAGATGTGGATGACAAAGTGAATGTCAACACAAGTTAACCTGCCCTCCCCATGCACTTGTTTGAAAGATAGCATATGGGAGGTACACAGGTTTTGCACCATCCCTGTATTCTTCTTTTTCTCTGAAAGAATATGGGTTTTAAAGATCCAAACTGGAAAGTATTTATATATCTTGCTCTGCATCAAACCCCCATTTTGCCCCAGCAGTAGCTCCAGTCCTGATACTTCTTGCACTCCAAAGAAGAAAGTATTAATGTCCTTGAAATTAAAGAACAATACAAAATACCTATTTATTTAAACTGACCCGCACATCTTCAGAGGCACTGAAAGTCGAAAGTCAATCACTGGGCACACCTTGCTTTTTTCCTAGGTGTCCTAAAGGGAGCTGCTGTGGTTGCAGGGTGGTCATTCTTCCTATGCCAGCCTGTCCCAGCTGCGTGGCTTCCATATGACCCTGGCAGGCACTTCACTAGGGGAGTACTGTGGTTTCTACTGCTTTTCCTCCTAGTTCTTACTGCCAAGGTAGCGTGTATGAGTCATAGCACAGAACTGTGTTACTTGCACCTTTAAGTTGATTTTGAAAGAATCTCAGTAAGTGCAAGGCTAAGTTGTCCCCTCACTTAATCTTTCTGGAAAAAGGAATTGCCAAGCAAGCAACAGGGGACTTCACTCCAAAGCTCAAGGCAGAGCATGGAGTACTCCAAAGCTTTCTGGTCTTGGAAATTGTTATTGGAAACTACTGCAGTCTACTTAGCTGTCTAGAGATGTGCTAATTTGACCTAAGTGACAAATAGCAGATCCTTTCTTGTAAAAGGAATAGCCAGTTGGAGGGCTTTTTGCTGCCTTGGGCCTGAGACCTATACTGAATTCCCCAAAGACTGACATCCTGGTGTTAGTCTCCATACAAATAGTTTTTCAAGAGGTAGGTGAACATGAAACTGGATTAAAAGTAGTATTTTTGATAGGCAAACTACAGTATTGTGCTAATCAGTTATAATAAACTCTTGTCTATTTACAGGGGCTTAATGTATTCCAGTATGTAGATTAAAAAAGTATCAAGGGGAAGTACTGAGGAGATGGTTCATGAAATTCCCACATGAAGTGGGAGAAGAAATAGTATTTTAACATAGTTTTCAAGGCATTGTTTTGAAGCCACATTAAGTATCTATTTTCAACACATTTAAAGGAGTAGAAATGAATGATAAAGAGGGTATAGCTGCCATAACTAAATATAAACTCAGGTGCAATGAGAATTTTCCTGAAAAAAAGTTCAAAAATTTCCAAATCAGAGATTCATTTTCAGTGCATGAGGAAGAGGACATAGCAGCATCTCCCATACAGGCTTTTAATTTGTGATGCCACGTAGTAAAGAGCATCACAGTATATGTTCGAGAAGAAAGACTGTGAATGGGGGCTCAGGAGCAGTGCTGACAACCTGGGGTCATAATTAACTTGTTTTTGCTGAGGTCTTTCTGACGTGTTTTGTTCACGAGACATGGTCAGATCAATGTTTGTGTCTCAGAAGTAAGGCCTTATTACAACAATCTCTATAGGAACTTGCAGCGAACTCCTGCGGCAAAGTCGTTTGTCAGTGCAGTGAAGTAGCAGAGGAGTTTGGATAAAAACATAAATTCAACTCAATGTATTGAGCTGAATGTATTCAAGGCAAAATCCCATGTGCTGCTGGATATGGCCTTGCTTTAGCTGAATGCAACTGAAAAAGTTAGCTTGTGGGAAGCTGGAAGTATGTGTAAATTTCAAGGTTTTTAGAAAGACTGGGAAGGGAATTGAGATGTATCAAATAAGCACACTAGTTGCATAAAGAACTATTTTCTGTAAGATGTTTGATGTCTGTATGAGGCTTGCAAAACTGAAAATACACTAAGACTCCCCCACTGAAACAAAAAGGCACGGTCCGTTCCTCTGCTCCCCAGTTGCTCCAGGCTATAGACAGGCAACACAGTGTTGTTTTGCTCTTCTGCTTTTTAAAGAGGTTTGTCCTTACCTGAACACACCGGTGCTAAATGAATGTGTGGGATTTGGAGCACAAGTTCTGCAGACTTTGAGGCCAAGTCAGTGGCCATGCTATACTGATAGCAGTATGGCCTCTGGATTATTATTTTTTTTAAGTACAAAACTAGCCTGAGTTTCTTATGTGAATTGAGTCCAGCTGTTAATACTGAAGTCAGGAATATGCTTGGAGGCTTGCATTCAGAGCTGCACAGATTTTTGCTGGAAATCTTTGCATGCTCATAGCTGTGTGTGTAGAAAGCTTTGTGAGGTTAGGCCATTAACATTTCTGTTCTGTCTGTTCTGATGTCTCAGCTGTTTCATACATCTTTAATATATTCTGAAGGCAAATATGTTCAGCTTTGAGTAAAGCAGCTCATTTTGCTTTGTCTGCGCTTATTCTGTTTTCAATTACTCCAGCAATGGAGATGTTTCTTAACTGGTGTTTTCATTTGAGTGTATCCCATTGGACTGAGAGAGAAGTGGGAGTGTCACACAACCATGTCAAACACTGGGAAGCTGGACATCTGCATTGAAGAAAAAAGCAGTTAGGACGTTCTGATGTATTTGGGGCCACTTGGATTCAGTTCTATACTGTCTCTGATCTTAGCCACCCAGTGCCTCGGTTCCATGCGGAAAATGAAAATAACAGCATTTCACAGGCTTTCAGGAATGCTTGGAATTGGAAAATGAGCGACTCCAAACTGATTTTGAGACTACAGTAATAAGGCCTTATAATTGCCAGAATTTTAATTTTTCTTGTCCAGCAGATCTGTGGAGCAATTTTGAAGCGTGTCTGCACTAAGTCGTTAGGTATTAAAAACTTTGGATTAAAGACATGGTTTGATTGAACAGTTCTGCTACCTGACCCTGTGTATAACAATTCATGTTTTTATTCTGTTGGATCATGTTCAACCTTTTCATAAGCTAAATAAAAATAGTAAATTCCCATTTACCTAACTAGACTAAAAAAAAAAAAATAATAATAATCTGCTATTCAGTATTGGTTGCGATTATCAGCTTTTCAACAAAACTTTTGTCTATAGATCTCAAGAATACAACTTCTGAACACAGTATTTACTGCAGTAGGAACTACTAGTCACTGAAGTTTATCCTTAGTGTTATGATTTTAGGGAAAATTTCAAGCTTTATAGCCCTGTTAAATCTTTAGTTCAGAGTTACCGAGTGGGGTCTTAAGCGGTTGTGAAGATTGTCGTGTAATTCTTGGTCATTTCTCAGCCAAACACTCCTATTTAACAGCCTGAAATAGTGTGGCAAGGAAAGATTTCCATTAATCTCTTTTTTTTTTTTTCCTGGTTGAATATTTTAATTAAGACTATTTCCTTTGTCTGGGATACCTTGTGTACACAGTGACGGACAGTAGATCTGATGTGGTGAGGTGCCAGGCTTCTACTGGGTGAGTTCCGTCTGAGGGCATAAAGAATATAATGCAGAGCTAAAAGAAAGGATCAGATGGAGGCAGTCTTGATGCTATGAAATGGTTACCGAGGCCAAAACTATTCAGAACATATAGATCATAGAATATTGTAGCTGCTTGATGCCTTGATGGTTACCGAGGCCAAAACTATTCAGAACATATAGATCATAGAATATTGTAGCTGCTTTGTCTTGCTTTACATCAAGAACTTTGAAGGGCTTTCTGAACTCCAGGTTTTGGATCAGTCTTTTGTTTTCTTTCATTAGAGACCAGGTAATGGAGGGAGAATGACCAAGCAAATAAGGCATGCCAAGCAGGAACACAGATATTATCCACCTATTGCTCTGCAGGTGAATATTCCCAACTTTGATAGTGCAGTTTTGCTTACAAACAGTGAAGCATCTGAAATGATTTTAGCTCTTGACAGAGTTTGCTCAAAGTTTGTTCCTCATTGCATGGAAATAAATAGGAAAATGAAGCAAAACCGATTTGCACAGGCCACCAGGAAGCAAAGATGTGCCAAAAGCTTTGGCAGAAAGTGTTTTGCGGGACTGAAACAACAGCAGAACTGAGTGCAGGACGTGGCTGTGAGCATGCTCTGCCAATACAAATACTCAGGAAGACATTTTTGGGACTGTGTGCTATTGCTGTGTATTGCAAGCGTGGAAATACTTCGGTCATTTGCCACAACTGCTTCTCCCACTTCCTGAATGTTATAGGCAAGGGTTTTGTGCACAACACTTTTCCTGCATACCTGCAGCGTAACGGTGTGTGCGCCAATCTGAAGCTGGTCCTTCAGCAGGCAGCAGTACAGCATCAAGCCTTGAAACAAAGAAGTAATTCTTCAAAAAAAAAAAAAAAAGTCTTCTGCATGTTTTGAAAATGATATCCAGTTAACCATGTCTCCTGGGCAGCAAAATCCTGGTGGAGGGGAGTTGCCGGGTGCTACCAATCTTCAGATTTTCTAAAGCAGTGATCAGTGGTTTTTATTAAGCAATTGAGTGTGTATCCACTTCTAGTCCAGCAGCCTCGGTGTTTTGTCTCTCCCCACCCCTCCCCCCTTTTGGCAGGCTCTAAGCATCTTTTAGGCATTGAAAAACAGGAAATGAGAGAAAAAACCTCAAGCCAGATGTTGGAGCTTAGGTGTGTAAACATGTAAAGCCGTATTTTGGCAACTAAGTGTGTGCCCTAGTCTTTGAGCTGCTGACTTACCAAAGTCAGGCAAACTCAGCTGCATGTGCTCAGTGTCTCTGAAGTCAAGCCAGCTACTTCGCTGCAGAGATAGATTAAGTAGGTATTAAGTCATGCATAAGTGACCCAAATTAGTGTTTTATTAGTAATGGGGCCGAGTAAGGCTATTTATGTCCTTTCCTTATTTTGTGCACGCAGTTTACATTTCAGAGGGCTTTTATTGTTTAAATTGTGTTGCGCTGGAAGTTAATGTCCATGGCCTCCAATCACAGTCACTACTTTTCTCACCTCAGGGATCTTGTCTGATTTTGAGATTAGAAAGGTAAGCAGAAGTATGAGTGTTTTCCCTCCTATCTGAATTCATTGTAAAAAATAAATAAATAAATAACAAAAAAATAAATAAAAATCTATCTTCTGTGCAGAACAGCTGATTGTGATGAGAAAAAAAAAAAAGTTCTTTTTGAAATGAGGGTAATTGAAATTCTTTGAAATACCCATGTCCCATTGCTGTTTCTCTGGGGATATTGTTTTTTACGCGACTGTGGCCAGATTGTACCACGAAACAGATCTTGTGGAAAGAGATGGCTAGGGAGTGACAGATACGCAAAACTTAACATTCCTCCAAAAATCAGCTCTTGCCAGTGCCTCTAAAACTTGATGAATTGAGTTAACTGTAATATTTGTCTCTTTTTGAAATGCATTCATAGTAACTTCTTGAGAAAGTGTACTTTCGTACTTGGAAACTGCATAGCTTTTGAGTTATCATAGGGAGAAATTTTCTCTCTGCTTTACATGGTGCCATAAACTTTTCTGGCCAGCTTTACTTTTCCCATCTGGAACAATTTTGCCCTAATCTGTTACGAAGCAGCTTGTAATAAACTGCAGTTCCTTGAATACAACTCTTATTATTGTCAGTGGCTTAATCCCCTACACAGCCTGCTATTGGTACCAAGGAAAATTGACACTGAAATTAAAATACAAAACAAGAACGCTTTAAAGATCAGCTGCTGGATACTCCAGCACTTGTAACTTACCAGAGAAGTCTGTCTCCTTGATTTCTCTTATAAATTCTTCAACATGCACATGACATTCTCGCAGCAGTTTGTTTGCCTGGAACATGTCTTACTGATGGTGAAGCATTCTTATGCTTATTTTAAGCACCAAGAAATGGCTTTTCCACTGAGTCACTGTGGAGGTTATTCAGCGTTCTAACACACTGGAGTTTCATTGCTGATGAACGATGTCTTGTACCAGTTTGGCCCTAGGGAGAAAATGGATTACTTTAGTGTTGTGTCTTATCCCCATTTTACAGATCGGAAAGGTGACCCAAGGTTACAGACTCTGCCAGAAGTGATGCCACCCAGTGACTGAACTGGAATTAGGAGAAAGTAAGAATGCATGCACCTAATCCACCACTTTAGGTATTGATGGCAGTGCTGGTTCTTAACCTGGCTTTGTTTCCGTATACCACAGGCCACTCTAACCTCTGTTAGGCACGTAACCTTGTGCACAAAGGAAAACCAGAAATTAAAAGCATCTGCCTGTAGAAATACAGATAGGTGGTATCATTTCTTTGGCATTGAGTGCTTGCTAGTGTTGGGTCTGCAAGAATGTGAGTTGCGTTTACAACTTCAATCCTGATAAAAGGAAAATCTCCCATGAAACAGCCTTAGTAGGATATACAAGGAAACTGCTTCTCTGTTGAAATCTGTTCTATTAAACTCCCATTCACACTGCTGAAATCCACTCCTAAAATCACACCAAGGATAAACCAGCTAAGAGAATTTAAACTTAACTTTGAAGGGTAGTGTTGGGTTATGTGCCTAATCCCCCCTGGAGATTTATCTCAAACCTTTATCGTTTTGTTTCCCCTCATACTATAAAATGTTACTGGGCAGTGAAGTGTGCGTTCCTTCACTTATCCATCTGCAGTGCTTTTGTTCTAATGCGATACCTGGGTGAGGAAAAGGTAATTTTCTGATCTTTGACATCTGGGATTAGCAGAGCACCGTAGCTGCAGTGTTATGTGGCAGAAGCAGCAGCCACTAGAGGGCAAATGTGCTTTAAAGTTGCTGTCAGTCGGCTGTTGAAAATTGCCTGGACGTGCTCCTCTTATTTTGTCCAAGAAAAAAAATATTTTGTTCCGAGGAGCACTTGAATTACCTTCTTTGAAGCACAGCAAAAGCCATTAGTGGCTCTGGACAAAGAGTGGTTTTGTGACTGCCGTTCCTCCAGCAGCAGCATGAAGAAACGCTTTTGCAACCCGACTTTTTGGGCCAGAAATGACATTACGCTGTGTGGCATGAGAAAGTTTCTGCAAACAAAGTTTTCTGTTGCAAATGAAAAATATTTTATAATTGATATTGGGCCAACGTTGTCAAGTTTTACATGGATTAGAGCGGGCGGCAATAAAGTTAACTTTTGACCAGTAAGATTTTGTATAGATATGTGAGTGCGAACAGGAACCAGGCAATATTTCGTCCTTCTTTCGGTGGTACAGAGCAGCACGATGTAGGGATTTAGAATAAAAAAGCTACTTTTAGCATCGTGAGCTTCATCGTGCTAGCATGACTGAGTGGCTGGTGGCTGGGGTTTCTGGAACCGCCACGAGGCGTTGTCAGGTAGGTGAGCAGGAGGGAAGTTTCACAAGCAGCAGCCCGGGCTTGCATCATGCTCGGTGCACGCAGGATTACGGGGAGCTTGATTATGGGGAGCTTGATTACGGGGAGCTTGCTCACGTCCCCATCCATCACCACCAGGAAGGGTGGATGGCTGACTAACCCCCCTCAGTCCCCACCAGGGCTTCATGTGGGAGCTGAGCGGGGCGGCAACCCCACGGTGCTTTCACACAGCAGCGAGACCACGGCGAGGCACACTGCAGGAGGGCCCCCACATGAGGCCAAATTCCCCCATTGCCCCCTTATCCCCTCCCGTTCCCCCCCCCGGCGCCATTTTGGCCCCGGTTGCCACGGCGACGCCGCGCCCGGGCTGACGCGGGCCGTGACGAGAGGGGCGGGAGCGGGGCCGGGGGTTGAGGGGGGCGGGCCCGGGCGGGGCGGGGCCGCGGGGCCGCAGCCGGAGCCGGGCCGGAGCCGCCGCCGCCGCCGCTCCCAGCATGGTGATGGCCGAGCCCCGGCGGCCGCCCCCTGCGCTGCTGCCGCTGCCCCGCGGGGCCGTGGCCGGGGCCGGGGCAGTCCGAGTGGGCTTCTACGACATCGAGGGCACGCTGGGCAAAGGCAACTTCGCCGTGGTCAAGCTGGCGAGGCACCGCATCACGCGCAGCGAGGTGAGCGGAGACCCCCCCCGGTGTCCCCCCGGTGCCCCTCTCGGTGTCCCCCCCGGTGGTCCCGGTCCCCTCACGGTGCCCCACGGGG